CTGACCACGCTCTCTGAAAGGCAGCAGGAAATCCGTTACTGCTGCTACGCTGCCAGGATCTTGAATTGCACCACCTAGAGTCAGCTCTCCTGGCTTGATGCCAGCTATCTATTTAGACATCTTGTTTTCTTTGCCAGTGCAAATACAAAATAAAAGAACATGAGTTAAAAGCAGGGTTAGGTTTCTCAACAGCTGCTTTCAGTAGCAAATTTGCATCTGTGTGAAAGAGCCAAAGTTATTTTCATGGAAAAATTTTAGCCACCTCCTGATGAGATGTAGGAAAAGCTCTTCCCCAGTCTGGTCTTTGAAAGGAGTTATGTCTGTAACAGACTGCAGAAAGACATGCTGGGTGCTCTCTCTCTGCATCTGTCATTAAAGTAAAACTCTTCTGTGCCCTCGAAGCAATTGTGCCTCTCTGTGAGAGTGGAAAACAGACCCTTCCAATCCCTGCAAGAGAGCTGTAAGGAAATCATAGCACTTGTCAGCGAAATTTGAAGCAGTGAAGTGCTGGAGATGGTTGGTTGTGTTTTCAAAGTTTTACGCTGTGGGGGCCTGATCCCTGAAGGAGTTCAGAGCTGATGTTGCCAACACCTCTCTGATCTTCTGAACGAGCTGGAGTTGTTGCCATTACAGGGATGTCTGATTATAGTCACAAGTGGCTTTGTGTGATGACACTAGTTACTTCATGTATCTCTTGCTGTGTCTTTCTCTAAAATAGAACCTCTGCTTGGCCTGATCTTGCTGTCACCTTTTAGCTACTTTTCCTTGTTTCAAGTGACCAGACTTGAATTCTCTGAATCCAGTGATTGGAGAGGGATGACTTGGAGATTAGGCAACGGCTGTGGCTTTTAAAATATAAATTCGGTTCTTTTGTTAGCTTTTCTGCCTCATTCAACATGTAGCATCTGTGCCCTTGAAATTGTTTACCCCCCCATCAAGGATGAGTACCTCTGTCTTCAAAGAGTCATCTCCTGCCCATGCACACACAGGAGAGGGCACACAGCTTTCTCCAGTGTGCGGAGAGGGAAGTGACCTAGCAGTGGTCACTTGCAGGGCAAGAACCTGCGCAGAAGTCTCCCAGGTGTCTAGGAAGCCTTCGAGCAGCCTGCAAGAAGGATAGTTTGAGCATTGGGCAGTACCTGAGTTAGAAATGGGAGCCCAGGATGGGCTTTGGCTAGTGGTGTACGAGGGAAGGCCTGCAGGGAACGTGATGAAGGAGCGAAGGTGGAGGGCTGTGTCCTCTCTGCTTTAGAGCTCACCTGTACAGTGAGGCAGAACTGAGAAAGGGACGTTTCCAGTCCATGTCTCCCTGCCATCTTTGGCCAAGCTTTATCTTGGTTCAGTGTTGACAATCCAGAGGAGCCGCCAACCTCTGTGTCCCAGCCTGGTCCACCAGATGCCACCGGCTGCTGTGTTCTTGGCCCAGGCTGCTGTTCGCTTCGCCAGTCTGAGCAAAACCTGGCCTCCCTACCGATGACTTCTACTGACTGCTTCTGATGCAGTCCCAGCCTTTCTTGTCCTGCTAACACTAAACTCGCATTAAATAGTGCTTGGAGGGAGGTGAGGACTCTAATGATTACGAGACTTGAGTAAATTAAATTCTTATGTCAACACACATGTAGCATGCTTAGAATGTGATGTCCCGCATCTCTGTACGCTGATGTTGGTCTCCACACGCTGTGCCTCTGGATTATCATCTCGGAAGAAGTGCACAAAGTATCCGGGCTGTGTTCATCAGCTGGCTTTTATTGTTTTCCTTCGAGTGCCTTTTCAGTTTTTCTGGAGCCAGTCCTACCAAATACAGCAGGATTTCTAGTTTTGTTTACAGTGGATTGTCATTTTTGTTTTTACTCTTGCTTTTTGTGGAGGTAACTTGTCTAACGTTACTGTGAATATCAAGAATCTCCTGTATATAATTAACCAATAAAATAGATTGCATTTTACTGTGGTGGGTGTGTGTTTTAGAAACAATCCTCAATGCTGTGAAAGTGGAGGCTGGTGGTTCTTACTGCAGCATTCAGAAAGCGACTCCGGGAGTACGTGCCTGCTTTTATTAGCCCGGCCTTCCCCAGCCCCTTTTCTCTGGCAGAACTCTGCTGTGCCTGCTGTGACGGTGACAGTGGGAGCGAGCAGCCAGGGCTGTGTCCATCCTGGGGTGGTTGGGGATGGGCATGAGGAGCAGCGGCCCCTGGACCTGCCCCAGCCACCAGCAACAAGCCCTGAAGCTGCTGGAAGGGGAATGTGGGGAGTCAGCGGTGCCTGAGTTGCCCTTTGTTCCAGTCCAGTTACGCTTCACAGCATGTGGGGAAAGCCGAGATGGAAAGAGGAACTGGTGCCTCCCAAATCTGCTTTCTCCTATAGAGGTAGGAGTCGAAGGACAAATTTCCGGGAGCTGTAATAGTGAACCCCCTCAGTGTGTAGAAGGTGTCTGTGTACAGCAAGGAATGCGGTCTCTCTCAGTTTTACTCTAGATTGTATTTTTGCATACAAGAGCAATGAGGGGCTGGGTTGGGTTTTCTTCCCCTGTGTGAAGGATGTCTGGAAGCTGCTGGGACATTTCCCTGTCAGCCCTGGGCCATGTTGGGAATGCCTGAATAGCAGAGAAATCCCTGGTAATTTCATGTGGTGATAAGACTGGGAAAGCAGCTCTGCTCTAGGCCAGATGGCTCTTTCCTGTTCGAAAAGTTTTTAAATTCTGTACGTTATCCCAGCCTGACCTGAAACGTGATGCATTTATAACACATGAAGCATGAATTTAACAAGTCTGGTTTGGAGCATTGCTTGAGACACTGAAAAAATAGAACTGATTGCTGTGCTGGAAGATGGCGTCAGGGTCCCAGCCAGGAGCAGAGAGAGCCTCCAGTTCCATCCCTAAACTCCCTGTGGGTGTCCTCATGCAGACCCTGGGGCTGCTCCATCCTGCTCTGCCTCCTTCCCCAGGCTGGAGGGAGCAGAGTTTCTTAAACACCAACAGGCTGCTTTAGTTTTTTATAATTTGCTTCCTTCAGGCCACCTGCCTGCATGTGAGACTCCTCCTTTTTGGGGCTCTGCATTATCTCACCTTTCCTTATGTGCCCAGCCCACTGATGGTGGTACAAAGTGCTGTTGTAAATCCCAGTACATGCTGGTTAGTCTGTTAGGAATCAATCCACCTTTCTGCTTTTTACATGACACCATCTATAAGGAAACATTTGGTGACCTTTAATCCAAGCAACAAACATTGCTGGCAGCTACCTGAAACTCCATCTCGGGGTGACAAACCAGGGCAGCTGGGGTCACGCTCTCCCCAGGGCTGAATGGAAATGAAATGGGTAAAGGGAAAGGAAAAACTGCTCCATCAAAAAATACAGGATATTGTACCATGTCCATGTGCCCGGTATGTTCTACTGCATCCAGGTTTGCAGCTGTTCCCCGCTAAGGGCCTGATCCACATCCCAGCTGTGACAGGGATTGAGAAGCCACCTCGGTGAAACGTGCGGCACTGGCTGATTCGAGCAGACGCGGGGGCTCCCTTCCTGGCTGCCTGAGGGACGGGCAGAGCCCTGTCTAGCAGCGGCACTGCCTGTTGTGACACCCACTGCCTTCATTCACACCGCCTTGGAAAACACTGATCAGATGCTCTCCAGCACCTTCTCCTTAGCAGGGTCACCAACTTCTACGGCTAAAGGTTTAAATGAACATGTTCCACTAGCTCCATTTTTAACATTATTAAATCAAAAGCTCCCCAGAAGATCCTTCTGCAGAGGCAGTGTTTTACCTCCTCCCTGTATTAGTGGCACGCAGGTGAAGGAAACACCAGTGGCCTTGGTGTTTCCATCCCTGCCTGCACAGTCTCTGCAGCCATTTAAAGCAGCTCATGTGATTATTATTTTCTTTTTTTTTTTAAAAAAAGACATATTTATTTAAAACAAAACACTTGACCAAGGGGCATTCATGGGCGTGTTAACCAGATAAACTAAAAAAAAAAAAAAACAAAAAAAACCCCCCCAAACAACAAAAACCCAAATATCAAACAGCAGAAAGGAGGGGGGAGAGGCCTGTCCCGCCAGCCCCGGGCC